GACATAGAAGACTAAAAGAAGTTGGATCAACTATAGTCAAATCAACATAAGGTTGTTGCAAAGCGGATTCATAAGTCATTTTGGACTTTCTTTTTAACTGTTCAATATAAGTAACAATTACTATTTTTAAAATGTAAATTAAATACTATTTTAAAATCTAAAAATTTAGAAAATACATACCTCATCAGCTTGGGTATATAACTCAACCAACTTCTTTGGCCAAATAATAAAATTATGCATTGCATCCCCTAAAAGCTGAACCTCGTCGGTAGGGAAGGGTACCTTTGCACTTGGATCAATAATTTCACCCACGCTGACCTTCACTTGATCTACATTTAATTGTACCCTGTGAACCCTTTCAGCCTTGTAAACTGTCCCACCTGTCACTTTACGTCTAACGGGATTTTCAAATACAACTCGCATTGTGCTCCTAACTGCATGAATTCATATTCAAAAAAATAGCTAAAATATTTTTAATAAATAATAATAAGAGTAGCTATAAATGATTACTTACGGTCGGTAATCAGCAAAAGGGTCTGGAGAATTAGCTTTTTCACAATGACAGTGTGACTCGACATCTACACATATGTCAACTTCCCGCCTTGCTTGTACAGCTTGAGAAGTAGGATTCTTCATACTACTAAATTCATTCATCATCTCTTGCATGGTTGCTTGAAATTCCTCTCTTTGATTGGCTAACGCCTCTTGCACTTTCATCTCTTGATTGGCTAACACCTCAGCAACTGTAGCTTTAATCATTTCTTTAACTTCTGGTATAAGCATCTGGCTTTGACGACATTTTGCATGACCAAAGTAGCTTTCTAAGCCATGTGCTCTACCCACGGCTCTAACACGTCCGCAATGCTCATCAATACCTATGGCAGTATATCTCAACTTTTTTGGCAATATACCTCTAACAGTCATTGGCAATAGTTGATGCATTAAGACATGCCAATCTTGAGATTTCAACCCCACCAATTTTAAATCTTGCATATTCACAAGTGTTCTGATATTTGATGAGTACCATTGTAGTACCTTGACTCCACGTAAACACTCACAAAAACTTATTTTCTCTTTTTTTGATAAAGTATGAGTAGTTGGAGGCAAATATGTCTTCTTATCCCCTTGGCGTGGAGCTAATGTAGCTCGTATGTTCATTCAATCAAGTCTAATCTAGCATTGAGTCCATCTTTAGTCTTACCTTTTATATCTAAAAGAGTTCCAACAAGACTATCACACACATTTTTCTCCACATGCATCACATCAATACTATGTCTCACATCTAATGTCTTCCAATATGGAAGATCAAAAAATATAGATTTCTTTTTCCATGGACTCTTTTCATTTGGAGGTATCTCAACATTAGCTCTTGACCTCTTATCTCTTTGAGATTTAAGCTTTTGAGTTTTACTAAAAGTAACATTTATACCTTTTACACGTTCATAAACTTCAATCTCAGTCAGTGGTTGTGGAGCATCTGTATAGTCTTGTTGCCTATTGAAAGCCATTTTTAATCTCCTATAAGGGTGAACTCTATCAAGAAACCTCCGGTGACCCAAGTAGACTGTCTTTCTACCATGGACAAGTTGATAATAACATGTATTATCTTCACATATATATAGGGCATGCCTTAAGCCCTTTGACACTATACTCAGCCAGATTTCCATAAGCTGGAAAGTCATTGATTGTGCAAAAAAACATAGCATGCAACTTAAAATTCTCTTTCCAGTATGCATCAAACACTAACACAACTTCATCCCACAAATTTTTTCAAGTCATCAATCAAAGGTGACAAAAAGACATATATATCATTACCAGGTTGTTTTGGGCCAGAAATCATCAAGGACAATAATATATATTTGTGTTTCATACACAACCAAGGAGGAAGATTATAAATCACTAACATAACTAGACACGAGCTATGCTTGCTACTTAGGTTCCCGTGTGTGAGTATTATTATTATTATTATTATTATTATTATTATTATTATTATTATTATTTTATTATTATTATTATTTTATTATTATTATTATTATTATTATTATTATTATTATTATTATTATTATTATTATTATTATTATTATTATTTATTATTATTATTATTATTATTATTATTATTATTATTATTATTATTATTATTATTATTATTATTATTATTATTATTATTATTATTTTATTATTATTATTATTATTTTATTATTATTATTATTATTATTATTTTATTATTATTATTATTATTATTATTATTATTATTATTTTATTATTATTATTATTTATTATTATTATTATTATTATTATTATTATTATTATTATTATTATTATTATTATTATTATTATTATTATTATTATTATTATTATTATTATTATTATTATTATTATTATTATTATTATTATTATTATTATTATTATTATTATTATTATTATTATTATTATTATTATTATTATTATTATTATTATTATTATTATTATTATTATTATTATTATTATTATTATTATTATTATTATTATTATATTATTATTATTATTATTATTATTATTATTATTATTATTATTATTATTATTATTATTATTATTATTATTATTATTATTATTATTATTATTATTATTATTATTATTATTATTATTATTATTATTATTATTATTATTATTATTATTATTATTATTATTATTATTATTATTATTATTATTATTATTATTATTATTATTATTATTATTATTATTATTATTATTATTATTATTATTATATTATTATTATTATTATTATTATTATTATTATTATTATTATTATTATTATTATTATTATTTATTATTATTATTATTATTATTATTATTATTATTTATTATTATTATTATTATTATTATTATTATTATTATTATTATTATTATTATTATTATTTTATTATTTTATTATTATTATTATTATTATTATTATTATTATTATTATTATTATTATTATTATTATTATTATTATTATTATTATTATTATTATTATTATTATTATTATTATTATGATGATGATGATGATGATGATGATGATGATGATGATGATGATGATGATGATGATGATGATGATGATGATGATGATGATGATGATGATGATGATGATGTAACCTATAGTTTGTAATATGTTGTGTTAGAATAAGTCTACAGTTAGTATCCTATTAGATAGGAGTGTCTAGAGGTATACTCAGATATACACTCTTGTAACCTGGGAAGTTGTAACTGAATTGAAAGTTTGAATTCTCATCCCGTGAGGGTTTATACCATCAGTACAATGTCCTAGTCTTAGATTTCTCGACTCATGGCCAAATACCCTACGACGTCGGCTATATAGTATTATATTTATTTCTTATATTTTTTATTTGTTATTTATAATGTTGGCTATTAGTTAATAGCCGACGTTATAAGTTTTATAAAAAAAAATTAAAAAGTCTCTAACGTCGGCTATGTATATAGCTGACGTTAAAGGCCCGACGTTGTATGTGAATTCTGTAGTAGTGCATATGACAGGTACATCATGTTTAATAACATTCATTTAATTTGTATACTATATTCATAATATTTTTTCTATATGATCATAATAACATAAACTTAATATACATAAACAGTAAATTGCAAGTACATCATATACATTTACATTCATTACGTAGTATGTTCATAATGTTCTTTCTATATATTCATTAAAACAAAGCTTTTTTTTTTTGAAAGGAGCCTGTACGGCATTTATTGAAAATATTCAGAAATAGATGCTGGCGGATCGTAGTCCGAGTACATAGTAGCTGACTGAGATAAAGCAGTAGATGCTAAAGTATGAGCTAAATAATTATCTAGTCTAGGAACATAATGAAGTAAACAATAATCGAAAGATAATATACTAGTTCTGCAGCTATCAATGGCATATCCCAAGTACGATCTTGACGAGTGTGTCATAGATGATAGGTATTGCTGAAGTACCAAACAATCCGTGAAGAGATCGATAGACTTTATTTCGCGACTTCTTAGCCACGACAAAACTTCCTTGCATGCATAGGCCTCCGCCATTAGTGGTGAAAAACAGTCTCTCATAGGGGCAGTCATAGCCGAAATATAATGTCCTTGCGAATCTAGAATAATAGCTCCTACCGCCGTTTTGTTCGTCTGTGGGTCGTATGCCGCATCGAAGTAACACTGCTTCCTTATATCTCGTGTAGTTCGGAGTTCCATGCTTTGCGTCGGCGGTTGTAATGTATTCTGCATGGCAGCAATGTTGTTGGGCGTTGCCGAGAAATCTGCTGCAGCCATGTGAGTATCCACCACGGTAGCAACTCGGCCGGGTGACGTCGTGGAGGTGTGTCGCGAATGCAGACCAGGATGGGCTAATTTCCAAGCGTTCACAGCTGATGATGCCATTGCAATTACTTTCTGCGGCCTGGGCAAGGCTGCCTCCCATACAGCCCCATTCCTTGCCCGCCAAATATAGTATAGAAGTGCCACTGCATAAATAATTCCATCATTATCTAAAATATTCAACAAATCATTGAACCAATCACTGAAAATATTTGTGATACAATTGGGGATTGGAAGGTGGGATTGTGCCCAAATGTTTGTCGAATAAGCACATGTGATCAACGAATGCACAATATCTTCATGCCCAATTCCACACATGGCGCATGTTGGATCAATATCAACTCTCTTTATAAGTAAGTTCTTCGTAGTGGGTAAAATATCATTCAGAGCTCTCCACAGAAATGTTTTCCATTTTGGGGGGCTTTAAGCTTCCATAATATTTTCCATTTATCAAAGGCCCCAACCGTTTGGGTGTAGTCACCTACTATCCTTCTATAACCACTTTTAACCGAATATTCTCCTTTTGGGTCCCCATACCAGTACCACAAATCCTCATAATCGGGTGACACAGGTATTTTTAAAACCCTCTCTACATCCTCAGGATTCAAAATATCAGTTAGTATTTCCTGATCCCAGGTTCCTGTCTGCTGGTCCATCAGTCCCATTACCTTTGCCTATGCCAATTGGGGTGGCCTTTCTGTTATAATTCTTGGGTGACTCACATCTTGTAGCCATGGATGGTCCCAAATCAAGGTCGATTTGCCATTCCCAATCCTGCGCCTAACCCCTCCACAAACCAAATCTTGTGCTGCCAAAATACTTCTCCAGCAAAAACTTGGATTATTTCCCAAGCATGCTTCAAAGAAAGAATTAGTGGGATAGTACCTGGCTTTATAAACTCTTGAAACCAATGAATTAGGCTGTGTCAGAAATCGCCACGCTTGCTTGCCCAACATTGCAAGGTTAAAGGCACGCAACTCCTTGAATCTCAATCCTCCATATTCCTTTGGGATACATAGTTTATCCCAAGCTTTCCAATGAATACCCTGACCATCTCTCGATCTCCACCAATATCGATTCATTGTTCGTTCAATGGCAGTGCACAGAGTCATAGGGAGTAAAAAAACGCTCATTGAAAAGGTAGGCATTGACTGTGCCACACTTTTCAATAAAACTTCTTTTCCTGCCTGTGACAAAAGTTTCTTATTCCACGAGTCTATCCTCTGCCTTATCTTATCTTCAATATATGAGAATGCCACTTTTCTATTCCTGCCCACAAATGATGGAAGCCCCAAATACTTTCCAAAATTCTGAGCCTGCATTACTCCCAACATATCAGCAATCTCCTCCCTTATTTCACTTCGGGTATTCTTACTATAACAAATGTTCGATTTGTGATAATTAACTGCCTGGCCAGACATCTTCTCATATTCCGACAAACAACGTTTCACCACACCCGCCTCTTGAGTATTTGCTTTGAAAAAAAGCAGACTATCATCAGCAAAAAATAGGTGGGTAATGGAGGGAGCTCCTCTCGCCACTCTACATCCATGTATCTCCCCTCTTGCTTGTGCCTGTTGTAATAACATTGAAAGCCCCTCAGCACAAATAATAAACAAATAAGGTGACAGGGGATCACCTTGTCTTAAACCGCGAGTCGGGGTTATTTGATCAGTCGTCGAACCATTTACCAGTACACTGTAAGACACAGTGGTTACACACATCATTAGTAACTCTATCCATCTTTCATCAAACCCCAGTGCCCTTAGCATCCCTTCCAAAAACGGTCATTCCATACGATCGTAAGCCTTAGCCATATCCAGCTTTAAAGCCCCCCAACCTGCTAGTCCACATTGTTTCCTGTTCAAAAAATGGCCAACTTCCGCCGCTATCAAGATATTATCTGTAATTAGTCTTCCAGATATAAATGCACTCTGGGATTCAGAAATAATACTCTCCATTAGTGGCTTCATCCTGGCTGTAATTATCTTTGCCATAACTCTGTAAATAACATTACTCAAGGCAATTGGCCTATAATCAGAAACCATTTCCGGGGTTTTCTTCTTGGGGATCAAAATAATGTTTGTTTCATTTAATTTGCCAGGTATTGAGCGAGTATTCAAACAATTCAGAATATAAGTAGAGACATCAGAACCCACTACATCCCAAAAGTGTTGATAAAATCCAGGGTTCATACCATCCGGCCCTGGTGCTTTATCAGGATACATTGAAAACAGTGCTGCTTTAACCTCCTTCTCCTCAAAAGGGCGCAATAAACTCTCATTCTGTATATCTGTTACACGTGACTGTATACTCCCAAAGAACTCATCATCAATAGTAGGAGTACTCGAGTTAAAAATACCACGATAATAATCCAAGATTTCATTCGTCATGGCATCCCCCTCAATCCAATCCCCATCACTATTCATAATTTTAGTAATAGAATTCTTTTTCTTTCGATGAGAAGCATACCTGTGGTAAAATTTGGTGTTTAAATCCGCATCCTTAAGCCAATGCTGCTTGGCCCTTTGCCTCCAGTACGTATCTTCCTGTAACTCAATACGAGCCAAACATTCATCTAGTCTCCGGAACTCGGCTAGGGATACTGGATCCGTACATCCCCGCAGGCGCAACTGTTCCTTCCGTAAATTCAATATTTTCTCACCAAACTTATGGAATCGGTCTCCACCCCAGCGTGTTAACCGATCACCACATAGAGTGACACACTCCTGCAACCCTCTGCTCCTTCCCTCGCCCCATGATTTCTCCACCACCTCTCTACATCCCTCATCATGTAGCCATGCCATCTCAAATCGAAAACCCCTTCTCCGACCACCCCTCCTTCCCCGCAGATCGAGAATCCCAAGGAAGAGGAAGGAATGATCTGACTTCCGGGTTAATATATTTTGCACATTAGCATCAGCCACCAACTCCCTCCAGGTTTGAGAAGCCAAAACCTTATCCAATCGTTCCTCTATCCAGTTGGGCGTGCCCTTTCCTTTCTCCCAAGTATATGGATATCCAGACATTGGCAATTGTGTCAAACCACACTCCTCAATAGTTTCTCCAAAACCCCGTAGCAAGCTGTCTGGATGGGGATTCCCTCCTCGTTTCTCATACTGATATAAGAGATCATTAAAATCTCCAATAATTACCCATGGCAGATCCGATCTACTAGCCAATGACCGAATAAGATCCCATGACTCTCTTCTCTGGGGGCGCTTCGAGAATCCATAAAACCCAGTCATCCTCCACTTATCAAAACCTGGCACACTCACCTCAACATCTATGTGGTTATTAGAGTAACCCATTATTCTTGCAGTCTCATTCGTTCTCCATAACAAAGCCAATCCTCCACTCAATCCAGTGTTATCCACATTCAAAAGGCCTTCGAAACCCAGTTTAATCCGAAGTCGCTCTGCATGATCTCGGTTAACCTTGGTTTCCATCAGAAATACAAAATCGGGTTTCTTGCGGGACACTACGTCCTCAATTTCCCGAACTGTCCGTGGATTACCCAAGCCACGGCAGTTCCAGCTCAATGTACTCATTGGGTCGGGCGGGTCTGCACTGCAGCACCCGCCATCTGCAAGTTTTTTTGAACATCGGTCATTGCTATATCCTCTTCCAACACCACTCCCTCCCTCACCCGATAGCCCCTACCACCCTCAACCTCAGAATTCGCCAAACATAAGTTGTCTGGCTCGATACCCACTCCCACTTCCACTCCCCCATCAACCTCCCCATCCACTCTACGTCTCTTCGGGTCCACCCTAACTCCCTCTTCCTCCCCAATTACCCCCTTCTCCCTCGACATCCCAACCTGTCCGTCACCACCCTCCCTCACAGCATTACCAACCGCCACCCTTCCCCTCATTCCAACCGTATCCCCCCCCCCCCCCCCCCGTGCCTGTCGCACCGTGACCGTATCCTCCAATACCAAACCCAATTTCCTTCCTCCGCTCTTGCCCCATCTTAAACCATTTATCACCCAATGTCTTTGCCGGATTATTTCCACCCGCTCTCATAGCCGCCCCAAATAGATATTGATCCGGTGACAATAGCGAACGACGAGCAGCTAAACAGAATTTATCAGTATGCCCCATCACACCGCAGAAAAAACAGAACATATGCAAACGTTCGTATTTGAAATTTATCCAGACCCACGTTCCATCCCGCATAATCATCTTCATACGTCGTTTCAATGGAACTGAAATATCATGTGTTATACGTACCCGGTAGAATGAAGTCCACGGCCGTTCAAAATTACGTTCATCATACCGCAAGTATACTCCCGCAAAATCCCCGATCCGCTCAAGCACTTTTATAGTCCGGTATCCCAATGGAATATCATAAACCTGTAGCCAGAAATCCACCGTGTTCAACACTACTTGCGTCGGGTCCTCCCCATCATTCAATACCTGGCAAAGAAACGTCGCATTCTCAAACGCCCACGGACCTTCCTCCAATACCCGACGCATGTCTGCCTCGTCAAAGAATGTAAAGAGATATAAGTTCGGGATAACGTCCGTGATCTCAATTCCCATCAGTGGCCGCCATGCCGAGGCCATGACTCGCTTCATCACTTCCACCTTCATGATTCAGTCCGTGAGGAACCGGCCAACCAACGTCCATGTGCGACGTTCCGGCAGCGGCATCGCAACAGCGTAATCTTCGTCTTCAAAACGCACGCCCTGTTCCTCGTCCTCCAAACTCATTCCCGCAGTCGTCGCTGTGAGCTCATGCACATCCATCGCTGATTCGTTGTTGTCCGATCGTTCGGACGCAAGAAAACCTCGTCGGAACCCTAGATCTCAGGGGGGTACGGTAGGAAACCCTAATATCCAGGGAGGGAGTTTTTTTTTTTAAATTCTATTCTAATATTATCCATTAAAACAAAGCTTAGTGTACATAAACATTACATTAAATTAATAATTTTATATGCCTATAAATTTATTTTTTTTTTAAAAAAAAAATATCAATGAGTGTCATTTAAGATATCTCAATTGAAGTTTTTTAAAGATATATTTTTAATATATTAATTTTATTTGTAAAAAAAATAAAAGAAAATAATTAAGTTAGAACAAAATTTAAAGAAAAGATAAGAATATCTTAGGGTATCTCTATTGTAAAAAAAAAAAAAAAAAAAAAAAAAAAAGGGGGGGGCACGGGGGTCGGGGGAAGAAAGTTGGGGTGATGAGTTTTCCAGGTAGATTGTTTTCTTCGGATATATTCTTTCAAAAAGGCTAAACTCCAACCCCACACCCCGACCCAACAGAGCGTTTGCGAGGATGTAAATCATAGTAATTTTTCTTCGGATATATTGACACGGGCGCATGGCGCACATTAACAAATTTTTAATTTTTAATTATGTTAGGTTAGATAATTAATTATCAATCATTTTTTCAAAAGGTTGAATCATGATTTATATAACTATGTATATCATATATAAAATATACATTTTTAATATATTAAAAATAAAATACATTATTTGTGTATTGAATTTACATTATTTAAATACTAAAAATATATTACTTTGTATATATTATCAAATACTATACATTCGGGACTCAAATAATATACCTTTAACATATTAAAAATATATACTTTTATTGTTGATCCACATAAAAATTTGTCGCTAATTATCCTTTCCGTCAAAAAATCACGGCGAAACCCAGTTGGGACCCACATAACGTATCTTAGAAGGCGAGGCCAGAAACCGTAAGTCGGACGCAAAGGGAATTGATGAATTGATGATAATTTCTTTTTTGCAAACAGGGAATGATGATAATTGATAAGCAGAAATGGGCAAATTGGAATAGTGGTATTTCAGTAATTCACCGGGATATCCAAGGCTTTTTGTTGGACTCGTATCAAACTCGGAGTTCAAAAGATTCGTGCTTGTCTCGTAATCGTATCCACATCGGATTTAGATAAAAAGGGAGAAACACAGTTCAACTATCAAAGAATCGTTGCTTAGATTGGCACCCATTCACACCCAAACTATCTCATAGCCAAAAAACTCTTTTATTCTTCAAGTATGCCCATACGGTTATATTGGTCTATTTATTAAATTTAATTTTAAATTAATGTTCATTTAGTCAATGTTATTGAATTGTATTTTTAGTTTTCAGTTTAAATATTTATTTTTAGATTACATGTTGATTTATATTGTAAAGTAGGTTTACTACTATGAACTTTATATTTATTTCATTGGAAAATTCATAGTACAATTTCATTACACACACACATATAAAATCCGGATCAGGTGTGACAAACTCCTTCCATGTGGACGTGTGGTTGTCTATGGTACACTTAGGAGTGGTCTGTGGTGCACTTAAGATTTAGGAGTGATTTGTGGTGCACTTAGTAGTTGTCTGTGGTGCACCACCAAATACTGGCATGTGGTGCACAGTGCACTACGAGATGTCTGTAGGGCACATAGGAATACTTGATGGTGCATTGGACTCAAAACACTATCAAGCATATCTAAATGCACTAGTCTATCATGAAATTACTAAAATGTCACTACAGCACCATCATTTGGTGGTGCACCACAGACCAATCTGTAGTGCACCATAGACCACTACTAAGTGCACCACAGGCCATCACTTAGGGTCCGTTTGGAAACCTGAAAAATGTTTCCCGAAAAATGATTTTAAAAAATTGACTCATTTTTTGAAAAATATTTTAATTTTCTTGTGTTTGCCTAAATGTTAAAAAATTATATTTTTCTGTTGCAGTATCTGTTCATAAATACTTTCTCAACCTATGAAGCACAACGAGTCAATATCACTTCCACTGAGGCTGGAACCCACAACCTCTTATATGAGAGAGCAATTTAGTGCCACTAGACCACAAGGTCCTTAGCAGAAATTACATATTTTATGTTTGGTTGTTTTTATAAAAAATGAACACATTATTTTGTTATAATAATAATAATAATAATAATAATAATAATATTATTATTATTATTATTATTATTATTATTATTATTATTATTATTATTATTATTATTATTATGGGGTGATGGTTGTGAACTTGTGATGGTGGTGTTGGTGTTAGTGGTGTTAGTGTCTGGTGGCAGTGGTTGTGTAGTGGTGGTGGTGGTGACAATGGCGGCGGCGGTGGTGGTGATGTGGTACGTAGTGGTGTTGGTGCCTGGTGGCAGTGGTTGTGTGGTGGTGACAATGGCGGCGGCGGCGGTGGTGATGTGGTACGTAGTGGTGTTGGTGTTAGTGGTGTTGGTGCCTGGTGGCAGTGGTTGTGTGGTGGTGACAATGGCGGCGGTGGTGGTGGTGATGTGGTACGTAGTGATGTTGATGTTAGTGGTGATGGTGTTCGTGGCGATGGTGATGGTGTTAGTGGCGGTGGTGATGTGGTAGTGGTGGTGGTGATGGTGTTGGGTGGTGGTGATTGGGGTGGTTGCGGTAATAATAATAATAATCCGAAAACTAACTTAAAAATGAAGAGAGTGAAGAGAGAAATGGAAAATAAAGAATACAGAAATTATATTTCGACTAAAAAAGTAGTAAAAAACTATGAAGATATTTCCACCAAATTTAACCTTTTTTTTTATTAGCGATAATTAATATTTTCCTTTGACTTAATTTACCTTGAGTCTCTGAGTACCCAAACACTAAAAAATCTGAAAATTAATTTTTTTCGAGTCTCCAAACGGACTCTACAAAATAACTTAATTTTCCTTGATCATACAATGGAAGATTTATGGTCTAAGTTATTTGAAGATAACTATGCAAATTGTGAATGTTGTGCTTCAAATAACTTAGACCACAAATCTTCCATTGCATGATAAATGGATTTATTACAACATTTTGTTATAGTCTGGATTCTCTTACAAAAGAAATGAAAATAATAAGTTTACAATCAAGTAATCAACACCAAAATATAATTATGTTTTAATCTTAAAACTCTATAATACAAATCTTGATTTTTTTTCTCCCACCATTCATCGGAGCCACTAATCTTATTTGTACTAAAATCCCACCCTAAACCAGTTTCTTCACGTTTCAGTTGCTTCCAAGTTCTCCATTATTTTTTCATAGCATCCCACTGTTGAGCATATAACCATTAATGTGCAATTCAACTATCAGCTTAGGCTTTTAGTTGAGATGGAACACATGCTTCAATTTGGTATCAGAGCCAGACCAAAGGTCATGTGAGAGGAGCCGTGTTGAGCATATAACCATACAATTCAACTATCAGCTTAGGCTTTTAATTGAGATGGAGAACATGCTTCAATTCCCACGAAAAAGTCAAAAAACGTTTTAATTGGAAGAGATAAAAGAATAAAGATGGAATTTTTTTTAGAAACAACTATCTTATTTTTAGAACATTATCAAACAGAGTTTATTAACAACTTAAAATAAGCTTATATAAGTTACTAAATATTATTTTATCTTTTAAGGACGGGGTGAGGTTGAAATGAGTTTTTACCCCAGAAAACCTGAGTTAAAACAATGGGGAAGACAAAAAGTGGAGGTGGAATTAAATGCGGTTGTTCAGGATAAGTGCAGCTGGGTTTCAAAAAAGTTGAAATATTAGCGCATGAGAGTGGTAGTAGAACTAGGAAGAGGAAGATATGACAAGGGTAGGGCAGACGAGAGAATCTGTAGGAAAAATCCATTATACTCCGTAGTTTCTTACACTTGTGACGATCAACAAAATTCCAACCAAAGATATAGTAAAATGAGTGAATGTTAGGATAACCCCAAAGTGTCGCATATCCCTCTCTCTCTCTCTCTCTTACTGTGATTTGCGGAAGAGTGAGAGGGAAAGTGGCCCCGCCAGATCCGAAAAACGCCAGTTCTTTTCCACATTTGGCGTCCTTGTAAATCAACAATGGACTAAAATCTATGCATCCGTTTCATGGCTTTTTCTACAACACAACAATAAGACCCTCCCACCCCTCTCTCTCTCTCTCTCTCTCTCTGTATGCGTATGAACACTACAGCTCTTTCTACATCAGTAATGGGTTTTTCTTGATTCTTACTGGGGTTTCAAGTCTGGGTGTCTGGTAATTTCTCAATCTTCATTTTCTTCTTTCTCGGGTGATATTAGTGGACCTATGGGTCTTCTTTTCTGTCATTTGTTGTTTTGTTGCTCATAAATTCTCCTACATGATTGTTCCTAGTATAGCTTTGTCTTTGAGTCACTCTTTGTTTTTGTATTTGAAGATATTGATGGCTGGATCTGTGCATTGCCGAGATTAGATTTTCCCCCCAAAGAATTTCTGTTCTAGACTATTTGTTTCCATACTTGAAGCTTAATGCAGGATGAAATTTCTCTCTCTCTTTCCTTTTCTCTTTTTCTTTTTCCTTTTCTCTCTTTTAAGTGATTTTGGGAGATGAATTTCTTTTGTGATTGTTAGAGTTTAAAAGGAATTGTTGTTCAAATTTATCCTTTTTCTTTGGATCTGAATATACTGTTTATTAGACTCTGGATAAGGCACACTGTTGTTGTTTTTATTTTATTTTATTTTAGTCATTTTTGGTATGTATTGTTTCTTTCTCCAAAATTTTCTGATCTTTGGCTTCCTTTTTCTGCTCCTCTGAAAATAACTTGAAATTTGGTCTTCCAAACATTTACTTTGAAACTGTGCTACTTCAAGAAAACTGGTCTGATTTGTGCCTTTTTCACATAATTCTTGTCCTTTAATCTGTAGGTTTCAGTAATTACTGGTATTTGGTTTTAAGAAAAATCTGTTGCTTTGCTTTGTCTTATTACATTCTATTTGCGTGTCGAGTTTGGATGGTTAAATGATCTACTTTGTGTGTTGTGGAGTTTCTAGGCATGCAACTCGAGTTAAGTCTGCTATTGATCCATAAGCTTCAAAGCAGCTTTCCTTTTACACTCATAACATGGACAAAAACTCTTTCTTGTTCTTCACACAATTTTTTAAGGAGAATGAATCTTCAACTATTTAGATGTTACTATGTTAGGCTTCATATGGTATTTTGCAACTTATTGGTGGTCTTAAGAATGTGTTAAAAGAAAGCTTATGTTCACCTCACTTAGAATCTGTCATACACTTCTGGTTGTACAATGTTTGAGTGGTTTGTTTGACAAAGGAGTTAACTTGAGGTTTTCTTCTGTTTCTTGTCGGGTCATTCCAGGTCGGGATTAAAAAAAATGCAGTGTACAAGCTATACTCTGGGATGTTACTATCTAAGAGACCTTAATGTAGGCCTTGGTGGGTGTTCATGGTCGACGGCTAACAGTGATATTGTATGGAATGGTGGGCACAGGGTCAATGTTTTGTTGCCTCCGCCTACTATGGATCACGATCTATGTCCTCAGAAGGAAATTTGTAGACAGATGATGCTAAAGCACGAATCAACATTCAAATATCAGGCAAGCTCCTCTCAGAGATTTCGAATTTGAATCTTTGAAGGAAATCGTTTGAACCTCACTCGTATAAAATATGGCATATGAATGGAGCAACTTTGTCTTTTGTTTTCCTGTCATTTGCTTAATTTTCAAGAGGCTCCCTGTTATCTAGGGTGCAACGATTTTGCAAAATGGGTTAAATTCTATTAGCTAGCAATGCTTATCGCAATGTTTGGTACACATGAATTGTAATTCTTTTCCCACCTTATTCTTAGCAACCAAAATTCCATTGTTTGGTGGGCGGAATTGCAATTCCCTCCAACCGTTGAATTGAAATTCCGAATCCCTCCCCTAGGAATTGAAATTCCATGGAAGATGGGAAGAAAAGAAAGTATTGTGTGGACAAATTTGCCCTTGTTCCTTCTTCCATTTTATTATTACACAAGGGCATTTTAGTCTTTATATCACTTCTTCCCTTTCAATTCCTAGTAATTCTATTCCAGCCTGCCTACCAAACAATGTAATTTGAATTCCTACTTTATTATTTTCTCACAGAATTACAATTCTTTTCCCCTAATTCCCTCCTTCCAACCAAATGCCCTGTAAGTTCTATAGTTTTTGTGTCTTTTGTATACTTAGCCTGTCATTATTTACTTGGTGGTTCACTGGTTCAACATTTTGGGTGAACTCTTTTTTTCTAAAAGAAAAATTTCCCCTTTCCAGGTCTATGAGCTGCACCGCCTATATAGAAGGCAAAAGGAACTGATGGAGGAAACTAGAAACAGGGAACTATTGGCGCATAGTTTAAAATTGCCTTTGGTATCTGAAGCAATGTCGGAAATCTCCATGGAAACCCACTTGCCTTCAAGGAATGTCTCGGGTATTAGGCCCTCTTTTCCGAGTCCACAGATGTTTCAAGAACCTTCACGCTTTGTAGCTGGAAACAATGAGGAACTGGCTACTCACAAACGTGCAATACAAGATGATTTTGAAGGATGTCAACATTCGTCATCTCAAAGAAAGAAATCTAGGAAGAGAATGTTGGATCTTGAACTTCCGGGTGATTTGTACATAGATAGTGAAGAGGAAAATGAGGTTCAAGTGCCTAAGACCCCAATCACAAATCTATGGCCCGTAAATGAATCAAAACTTGCCTCTTTTTACCCGGAAGGTTCTTCCATGTCTGATTCAAGTTGCAGGAAGACCAACTTATTGTTCGACTTGAATGAGCCTGCACAGCCAGATGAATCAGAATTCCCAAGTTCCTCGAGTCTTCTTGAATCTGATAGCAGTCAACATGATATCGCGAATCAGAATCAGGATCTTTCAGAAAAGGAAAAGTCAAATGCAGATTGCTCTTTGCCAAATAAAGAAACTTTGCTTGATATTACGGTTGGAGAAGGTCATTATGATGCTTGCAAAATTAGTCCACTTCTCGAGAAAGACAAAGAAAATGGGCTGCTACCTTGCAATACTGAAGCCGGTAGGGTGCTGTTTAGTTCTTTTCATATATTCTAAACATCTGTTGTCTTTGTATGATAGTCTCCGCCGTTTTTCAAAATTAATATGAGTATTAGTTTTGCTGAGTTAATACCAGATGGGGTTCTCCGAGTATAGTGACAACGCCACATTTAGTCCTAAACGTTCAATTTAACCACCTCTGGTTCTTCAACTTTCAAATTTAACTAGTGATGGTCCTTTCGTTCTTTAAGGGAAAAGTTAGGACCCTGGTTAAAAATTTGAAAGTTGAAGGACCATGGATAGTTAAATTTGAAAGTCGAGGGACCATATTTGGTTAAATTGAAAGTTTAGGACTAAACGTGTCTACTCGAAGAACCACAGTTGGTATTAACTCTAGTTTTGCTATTTGCGTCTTATTATTTTTATCATCTTACCTTTTCAGGGGGAAATAGAAGCGATTTGAATCAATTTGCGGAAGAATCCTGCTGTCTGACACCAAGTAATGAATGTAAACGAAGGAGAACTTTAGATTCAAAAATCTCCGAGAAGAATTGTGGTGAAGCTAGTATTGATGTTCCCTCTTTTGTTTCTTCTCTGGGAAAATCAATCAATGACTCGGAGGAGTTTCCTATTTTGGTTCAAGCACTTCCATGCATTAATGACACTTCACTCAATAAGTGTCATAAATCTTCTATTTCCAAACCTAGGCTCAGTCGAAGAAAGTTCAACCTAAACAAAATAAAACCTGCAGGCTCCCGTTCAACACGAGATGCTGACAGTGTTAACACTTCTGGGCCAAATGGTACTGCAAAATGCTTTACGATTTCTGAATTTTTGGATTTTAATTCAGTTACGCCTTATTACTTGTCTGGTGTTGAGCTTTCTGACCCGAACTCTATTTCTTGTTTAAATCCTTGTGAACCTGAAGACAAGGTGACAGATAGTAGCGGGAAGTACGAGGCTGCTGACAGTAATTTGGATCTTATTCCTACCGAGCAACAAAAATATGACACAGAGAGAGATTTGAAAGCGCCTATTAGCCCAGAGAACCGGGAGTGTTCTCCGCCTAGAGCAGATTCTCAAGAGACACGGCTTGACAGATCTATTGGTTTATCCAAAGAAGGTGGAGACGAAGAAGTAAGTGACAGGCTTGCAGCAGATACATTAGTATTGATTTTATCATCCGGGGTGCACAAGTATTCGAAGACCGGTATTGAGCAACCCGAAGTCTCTATTGGCTGCCTTGATTGGTTTGCTGGAATTGCATCTACTTTGGTAAATGATCAAAATGATCTTCTTCGGTCTGGTGTGCATGATTGCATTGAGGCCAGGAAAAAGAACGTGGCAAACAGCAAGGCAAAACATTGTGCTCGTAAAGTGAAGGTCGAGAATGTGAAAGAAACAGTTGATGCATCTTTGCCTTGTCGACTAAAAAAGACGAAATCAGAGCCCGAAACGAAGGATCGGGCATGTTCAGGGAGGAGAAAAGCAAGGAGTGGCCATGCTAAAGGGATGAGAAGTTCGAAAGCTTTGAAGACAAGTGCATGCTCACATTTCAAGCAGCAAAATGATGGTAAGAAGCTCAGTTCCGCTGAAAGGCGGTTGGAAGTGTGGGGAAGTAAGAAGAAGCGAATGGCTCGACGTGCTACGAGTACACCCCTTTTTTCGGTTCAGGTATTTGGTATTTCAAGCTAAGGGCGAGCAAATTTCTTCAGTATAAACAAACAGTACAGCAAACAAACCTCATTGCTTCACTCAATTCACTGCATATAAGTTAACTTGGTGAAGGCCTGAAGGGATTTACTTTTGTTTAGATTTTTGTTTTTTGTAAGAAGAATTGAACAATGAAGGTTCTTTGCTTGGCCTATCTGCTGATCATGGGATATCTTGTGTACATACAATTCTAGCTAGGACTGAGGATTTGATTAATGGTAACTTACAATTAAACTATTGAACTAGGTCTAGTTTATATAAGTTAACTTGATGGATATATTGGAGATGGACCCGAGCAAATTGATCTATTGGAGTGGAGCAAGATGGGTTTGTTTGGACCCGGGGCCCTGGGGCGGAGCCCCACCTTGGATCCCTAGCCGCCTAGGCCAAGTCCCGGGTTCGACCTAGGTCTCGTCTTGGGACTCGGCTTGGGCAAGGCCTTGGCCTAGGCCTCGGTTGATGGCATCAGGAAGGGTCCAAGTAGTTGCAACTAACTCCTTGTTAGGGGCACAAATATTTCTCAGTTGAGCTGTGGAAAATACAAGGTTGGTCAGACAACTGGCTAGCTTAATAATCATAAGGTTTGCTTAATAATCATAAGGTTTCAAATTCAACTTTCTGTGTAAGCTGTTTGTTAGCCTTCCTGTTTTAAGTTGGTTAATTATGTGCGGTTGGTCAGACAATTGGCTAGCTTGATAATCATAAGGTTTCAAATTCAACTTTTTGTGTAAGCTGTTTAATTTGTTAGCCTTCCTGTTTTAAGTTGGTTAATTATGTGCAATTTAAATGCTAGCTAGGATAATAAGATAGTTTTCATCCAATGCACACCTTTGAGTAATTGGTGCTTTTTTTATTTATTTATTTTTAAAATCCCAAAGATGTAAATAGAACAAACCATTTAAATTTTCAATCACTTCAAACTAACACAAATTGTCCTAACTTGCATGAAAAATGAAAATTTGGAAAATAATACAAATATAAAAATTACAAGGGTATACATATATACAAACATTCTTTTCTTCAAATATGTAAAAATATTCATTATTTATTAGGGAGTAGTCATGAAGAAATGTGTCCAACTGAGCATAGCATTGAGTGATTTTATACCTTTCAAATTCAACTGTAAGTACAAATCCAATTCCAATTTAAGGAAAATGCATAAAATATACTCCGTATTAATTACGACATGAATATGCAGTAGATGACAAGAGGCAGCAACTAACACTGAACTTCATCATTAATTGCCCAATTTAAATCTCCAAAATGGTTATCCATTCTTGAAAATTTTGCAGCATTTAAACTATGAAGTTACCTTTGTTAAGACATGCAAAAAGGGTAAAAGAGTGAAGGCAAAATTGGAAGAAATACGAGAATAATTGGAATCTACATTCAATTTATGGGGCTTTTGGTTGCCATGAACAAATTAGGAGAAAAAAAATTACAATTTTATGAGAGAGGAATAATGAGGAAATAAGATAGAAATTCAAATTCTATGTCACACACACACACACACACACACACACACACACACACATATATATATATATATATATATATATATATATATATATATATATATATATATATATAAGGTTTTCGACTTATGTCAGACTAACTCTCACCCTATCACTAGAATATTGGTGTTCAATGTAGATTTTTCATATTTAAATCAAGAAAATCAATAAGTCGTTGCCGTTGCCATTAGTAATCAAACTTGTAATTTTGTGGTTACTAAGTTAAGAGTCACCAACTTGTTTTTTATTCATTAGTTATAAAGATGATTTTTTGTTTTTTTTTAATGGATGTATTCTTTTTCAATTTGTACTTTATTTTATTTTTCTTACCATGAGCTTATATTGTACCTTACAATTTAACTTAACTAAAGTAATAAAATTTTAGATCTAAAAAAGTTGGCTACCATAACATTAAACATGTTAGATGGTCAATTTGACTTATTTTTAACATTAAGTTTTAATATTTTTAGGTTTTGATTTTTTTTTAAACGGGACAATAGATCTATGATCTGGAATTCTGTAAGACTATTTATAAATTCTGTTAAACCATTGTTCACAGTGCTCTCGTAGCTCAGTTGGTTAGAGCACCCGTTTAGTAAGCGGGAGGTCTTGAGTTCGACTCTCAATGAAAGCATATGGCTGACCTTTTTGCGCGATCGCTGATTTTTCCCCTTGCAGATCAACCTAAGTTGCCTAACAATGAATGAATGATGAATTCATGAACAAGGGCTTATAAATCCAGATTACAAAAATTTACAACCATCCACCATGAGACTTTTACACAAATATATCCACCAAAAATATGATGTGATGAGGCAGCCAGACATGCAGAAGGCAGGCTATTAAATGGTTAAACGACATTGACCTCAAGCTAAGCAGCCATGTTTAAATAAACAGAGTTCAAGTTCATTATTTTAAATCACATGTAAGTGTACAAATTTAGTACAAATTAAACATTAGTTGGCTAATTTATTTATTTTTATTTTTAATTAGATTTAAACTAGACTAAAATCCTTTTTAGACCACTCCCTATCAACTAATATTAATTTGAATGGCTACAATTTATTGGTTGGTTGAGAATGGAAGTCAGCATTACGCATGGAATGAAGCTTTCAAACAAAACATGTGGTTGTGGTTGTGGTTAATTGAAGACTTTGGAATCTATTTATGTGGATCATGTGATGGGGTGATCTTTACTATAAAAGGAAGACATCTTCTTTTGAAAATTTACTGATTTTGAGAATTCTATATTGAGTGAAAGGAATCTGCATTACAAAGCTATCTTATTAAATTCATTCTTGAATATCAATTCGCGTGGGATTAAAATCTGAGTTGCACAGTCAGTACCTGGAACAGCTGAAGCTTCGATTGAAGATTGTTATGTTGCCCCGCAGACGTAGGAGAATCGCTCCGAACTGCGTAATAATTTTCTGTGTTCTTATTTTATTTTATGCTTTCAAGTTCAGTTATTTACATTTGATTAAATAATCTAATTTAATTAATGAACACGATTGTTGCATAAAATAAAATCAAATAAATTTTTAAGTTTTATCTTGCATTCAAGATTCACGGTACAATTTCATCACACAATAAAAGAGCTCAGCAGAGTTGCCTACAAGTACCTTCTCTAATCTCTAGGATACAAACACGACTTTTCCACTGACCTTTTTTTCCAAATTATAAAACGGCATCTTATCTATCTATTGTGAGTTATCAGTTATACTTTTACTAGCAAAGCTTGTTTACACTACTTCAATGCCAAACAACACACACTAATTGTTTGTTTCAGCAATGCTATGAAAATCAACTAATCAATTTGTATAACATATAACTAAACTGCGATTGCTGTGAGAGCAATCTAAGCCACATTACTAGAATCTGAGATTCCCCATGTTTCTGATTGTGGTTCAACTAATTCATACTTCTTTGTTTATGTTCTTAAATCTTCGCAGAGCCCCACATTCATACTTCTTTGTTACGTTAGTGTGGCTTGACCCATTACTTGGGGTGTCGGCGACATTAGAGAGAACTCGAACAACTTGGTCTCTCAGCTCGTGGGATGGTTCTTGACGGATCACCCCATCAAAATTGACGTCATGAAGCAGGTCCTTGCCTCATTTTGGCGTCTGCTGTTAGGTGTTTGAATCATAGACCTCCAACCGAATTTGTTTCTGTTCTCTTTCTACCACGAAACCAATATGAGGCGTGTTCTGGATGATGCCCATGGTATTTTGAGAATTCTACACTAGTTTGTAAGCCGATCTGACATGGTGAACAGCCTACGCAGGTTGCGCTTGATACGGTGGATATCTGGGTGCAAATCTATGATCCCATTTGGATATAGTACGGATGTGGTTGTGGAGCGAGTAGGGGTTTCATCGGGACTATGATGAAACTGGATGAAAGGAATTTTTGGGGAACTTGGAGGACCTTCTATCGAGTTAGGGTGATGGTTGACGTGACCAAACCCCTCAAGCCGAGAATGAAGTTGATTAAGCGGGATAACACTTGGACATATGTCAACTTCAAATATGAGCGGTTACACATGTTTTGTTTCTTTTGTGGCCAACTCGGACATACAGATCGGTTTTGGATGGATGCGAGGCAATAAGGTGGTTGGTCCGTCGGGGGTGGTGGGCTTGCCCGAGTAGAGCGAGCAGTAGTTGTTACACGGTGAGGCAATCAATAGGGATAACCAAAATGGATAGGTGGTTGAGTGGAACTGAAGCGAAGGAGGGGAAACAAGTGTGGTGGGGAGACGTGTAGAGATGTGTGTGTTAGGAACATATGTATTAAGATTTTGATGATACCAATGTAACTTAGAAGTAGATCCCTAACTTTTTGTCATTTGTTTCATTACCTTCGTGTTAGACGAAAGGTAATTTAACTCATCATGTAATTCGTGTTAAGCTAGACAAACACACGAAACTGAGTTAAGTTTATTTTTTAGTTAGGTCTCTCTCAACGAAAGAAGAGCAGTTAAGATGAAGCACAGTCTCATATCTACTGGACAACGAAAGATGAGATGATCTTCTACTACAGAAAGCAGAAGCCGAAAGAAGCCTTCTGATCAAGAGACCTTTATGACTGTCAAGACAACTCATCTTCTCTCGACTCAAGAAGAATGTTGTCAAATGTCTCATCTGAAGATCATCCTAGGAATAAACTCTCCTAAGATTGAGAGCACACTTATCAAGGTGCATTAAATGCCACAATACTACTTTTCAGAGCTAGAAGACAAAATAAGCAAAAGTGCTTATCTCCAACGTCTATATAGTACAACTGCATTTAATGAAGCAATAAATGCACAAGGCTCTCCGGGTATTAACTACTGGATCATAGGTTTGAAATGCCATCTCCCTCCAACGGATGGATTTCTTCTCACCTATAAATACACATCTTCTCCACATAAGAAGGTGCTGGTTTTTAGAACAATTGAATTCATTCTCTCAAAAGCTCCTTATACAAGTTCACTCTCCCAAGCTTTTGAAATCGAGTGATTCAAGGTGTGAAATTTGAAGAAGACGCATCTGAATTCATTCGCACATCATTGAAGAAGTCTTGCAACTTTGTACACGCTGATTATCCATCTAGCCACCAGCCAGTCAAGACTTCAACGTGTTGGAGAAACTCAAAGATTATTCAATCCAACCCTCAACTCTGAAGAAGAAGTTGATAGAGGCGGAGTAAACTCGAGAAGTTGAAAAACCTTCAAGTAGCTGTCCGGCTTAGTGATCAAGGAAGCTATCATTGTGTAATTTGTACTAGGAGTGATAGTGCAAACTTTTCACGAGTTGTGGAAGAAGAGTGGAGTAGGCACAGTTGGCCGAACCACTATAAAAACTCTCTTGTCTCTGTCTCTTTACATTTCAGCATTTTACTTTCGTGCATCGCATTTCATTAGCCCTAACCGAAAGTTCCCCATAAGATCAAACAGTGCAAAGAAACTTAAAATTTACATTACATATCCGCTGCGTAATAACCCCGAAAGAAGTTATTTTCGTGAAAAATGATTTGAGTCTATTCACCCCCCCCCCCCCCTCTAGACTTTCCTTTCGACCCTACCAGGACCAACAGTGTGCATGCATGATGGTTTGAACATCTCTTTTTTGGCAGGTTCTGGCTCCCAACTCGCCCTTCCTAATGAGCACTTTGAGTTGGAATGGTCGTGGATTGGGCAACCCACAGACAGTTCGTGGAGTGGCAGGCCTTGTGTCTGCAAAAAAAAGCCAGACTTTTTTTTTTTTTTAGGTGGGACGTAGACATGTGGAGAATCTGAGGGTGCGGCTCGGTCTTGAGAGTTGTTTTGTGTGGACAGTGAGGTTCCCGGAGAGGGCAAGGCGGAGGGAGGTGTTGGATTTTTTGAGAGAACTAAAGAGGAGATATGATGGGGGGAAGAGTTGTGGGCTTCCGCGTTGAAAATGTATGGCTATTAGATGATGGGTGCAGGGGAGTGGTTGAGGGGGCTTGGCTACAGACAGAGGGGTGTGCTTTTTAGGATAGACTCTATCAGAGTGGGCAGATGTTGAAGAGCTGGGGAGGGGATAGATTTTATAAATTTGATTGGGGCCAAGCTTGAGGCTATAAAGAAGGAGATGGTGCCCTAAGGGGACGGTTGGATGAGATGTCCTTGGCCAGGTTTAGGGAACTGGAGGTTCAGTTAAGATTAACATTTACTCAGGAGGAGATTTTCTAGAAACAAAAGGGCTAAGCAGCACTAGCTAAAGGGGCAGACCGTAATACTAAATTTTATCATAATTATGCTTCTTGTTGCAGGAAGAAGAACAGGACTCTCTGGTTGAAAGATGTTAATGGAGCCTGGGTAGAGGGGTGCGCTCTGCACCCTTTGATCGCGAACTACTATAGAAGTATCTTCTCATCACCTAGATGCCATTGGTCCTTTCAGATAGCAATCTTACAAGCCCGGGCTTCGCAGGTTCAAAATGCAGCCTTCTTCATCATTTTGAGCTTGAAGAGGTAAGACAAGCTTTGTTCTCTATGGGGCCGGATAAATCTCCAGGGCTGGATGAAATGAATCCAGACTTCTATCAACATTTTTGGGAACTAGTTGGAAAGGATGTCATGGATTTTGTGTTGAGATGTCTGAGTGAGGCTACATTCCTTGAGGGACTTAACATGCCAACATAGTGATGGTCCCCAATAAATTTACCCTTGGAACTGTAGCTAACCTAAAACCAATTGCCTTGTGCAATGTGGTGTATAAGATCATGGCTAAAATGGTGACAAATCGCATGAAGCCCTTAATTTTGAGTATTATCTCTTTCACTCAGAGTGTTTTCCTCCTTGGCAAGCTAATCACGTATAATTTTCTAATTTTCTCGGAGATGGGTCATTTTTAAAGAAGAAAATAACTGGATAGGGTGGGTTGGGCAACTCTGCGACTTGATATGGCTAAGACTTATGACTGTATAGAGTAGTCCTTCCTGTAGACTATGATGCGGGACTTGGGGTTTGATGAGGAGTGAGTTAATTTGGTTATGCAATGTGTCTCTTCTGTGAAGTATAGAGTTTTGATTAATAGTTGTCCTAGTGAGGTGATTGTCCCTTCCCGAGGCTTTAGGCAACACCATGAATTTATCTTCTCTACCTTGGTTTAAAATTTGCTATAAAATTAATGATCCTGCAATATTATGTTTGGTTCTAAGGAATCAAAGCAAATAATTTATCTTCTGCTCCGTTTATGATGAAACTATCACTGAACGCCGCTTATCGTTCCTCGGCGAATCTATCAGACTTCTCAATACATGAATTGCCTAAACTGCGACCTACTACCCATTTGATAAAATCACTCAAAAACCACACCCAAAGTCGCACTCGGATGATAATCCCACATGAACCCTTTAACCACTCCACCTTTACGAAACTTCTCGACACTTCTCTGCCATCGCGTGGTTTTGGTCATTCTGCCCTTCTCTTTACGCAGTTCGGTCATCTCATTGATGTGGAGCACTGTAACTGCATCATCAGAAGATATACAGATTCTGGGAAGCATTTGTATTCAGTTTTCGTGTATACCCAGATGCACAGACTCGATATTCAACCCAATAACTCAACTTTTCCGAGCGTTCTCAAGTCTGCAGCTCAAATTTGTTACGGGAGGTTTGGGGAATCGGTACATTGTAGTGTTACCAAAATGGGTTTTGGTTCGGATATGTATGCCAACACTTCTCTTGTGCACATGTACTGTGTTTGCGGACAACCCAGCGTAGCTCGCATGTTGTTCGATGAAATGCCTCAAAGAAATGTTGTTTCTTGGAATTCTTTAATCTCGGGTTATTTGCATTGTGGGAAGTTCAGGGAGGCAATTCATGTCTTTCGAGAAATGCAGGGTAGTGAAATTGAGCCAGGTGAGATGACTGTGGCTAGTGTTTTGTCAGCTTCTGCTCATCTGGGGGCTTTGGATCAAGGGAAGTCAGTTCATGATTACATAATCAACAAGGGTTTGATGTTGAATGTTTATGTTGGCACTGCACTTATTGACATGTATGCTAAATGTGGTGACATTGATGAGGGTGAGAGGGTTTTTGAGGCAATGCGGGCGAAAAATGTGCAGACGTGGAATGTTTTGATCTCGGGATATGCCATGAATGGACGAGGTGAGGCTGCTCTGCTCACTTTCGACAGGATGATCATGGAAAATTTCAAGCCTGATGTGGTCACTTTCTTGGGGGTTTTGTGTGCTTGTTGTCACCAAGGGTTTGTTGAAGAAGGAAGGAAGCTTTTCGCAAGAATGAGAAACGAATTTGGTTTGCAGCCAAAGATTGAGCATTATGGGTGCATGGTTGATCTACTTGGCCGTGGTGGATTCTTGGATGAAGCTATGGAGATGATTCGTTCTATGAATCTGAAGCCGGACCCTGTTATATGGAGGGCACTACTTGTAGCTTGCAGATTTCATGGACGTGCAGAGTTAGGTGAATTCGCTTTCCAGAAACTCGTTGAGCTGGAACCCCGGAATGCAGATAATTATGTGTTGCTGTCAAATGTTTATGTTCATGATAAGAAGTGGGCGGAAGTTGGGGAATTAAGGAAACTGATGGATAGGAGAGGAATCAGAAAGGTCCCCGGTTGCAGCTCAATTGAAATCGAGAATGTGATGCATGTGTTTAAGGCATCAGATTCAATTGGACCGGGATTTGTGGATGTTCATAATATGTTGGGTGAAATGAAAGAAAAGTTGAAATTTGCCGGGTATGCAGCAGAAACAGGGATGGTTTTGTACGATGTTGAGGAAGAGGAAAAGGAGCATAATCTGATATATCATAGCGAGAAGCTTGCACTAGCATTCGGGCTTCTGAATTCATCGAGTACGACTTTAAGGATAATGAAAAATTTAAGGATTTGCCAAGACTGCCATCATTTCTTTAAGCTTGTTTCTGCAGTTTATAGAAGGAACATTATTGTGAGAGACAGATATCGCTTTCACCATTTCACTGGGGGTATCTGTTCTTGTAAAGATTATTGGTAGTACGTTTATGCTGGCTCCTTTGAGGCCGATTCGGGAGAGGATTAGCAGAATTGCAGCTATAACTATTATTTTCTAGGATCAATCATTCAATTTATTCTCACTGTTATGGAGTAGATGCAGATTGGAAGTACATGGAATTCCTGCATTGATGAGTAACTAACTGGACATGAAGTTGTTGGAAAGTGATAGGTTATGGCTTGATGAACCTCTCAAGTGTCAACAACACTGGGAGGAGATCATTAAAGTGAACATAAACTCGGATAACCCCGGCCAAGATGGTTAAAGATACAAACTTGTAAACCACAAGGTCACGAGTTCGAATCACATTTCTCTTGGTTTGAGCCGGTCAGTTATGGGCCACCTAGGCTGGTTTACTTTCTTGTGGTCCTTTGTCGGCTAATGTTTCGCGTTTCCCTCGTCACCTAAAAAAAAGTGAGCATAAACTCTAAATCTGCTTTGTTCCAAAACCATAACAAACACCACACCTATTTCATATCATTCTTCACACAACTCTCTCAGCCTTACAAATACACTATTACTTGATATTTTTCTTCTCAAGGATCAAATGTTCATTGTGTTTCATTTCATTTATAGCTTACTCAAAATCTTCCCTCACCTTCTTGATAGTTGCAAGGTTGTTGTTGGAT